TTCATTTAAAATCAGTATTTACATTGTAGTCTCTCTGTCCTGAGAAACAAGTTTAAAAAAAGACAATTTGACTTGAGGGAGATGACACCCCTTTCCTAAGGGCCCTGCCCGGAGCCACTCTGCTGAGTCCCTTTCAGACACCCTGGGAGCTGCGGGTAGCTCTGCTATAAATCCTTCTCTGTTAAGCATCGGATTGTAGGAGTCTTGTTGGGTTGGCTCCAAAAGGCAGCTTTCTTTGTTGTGCCAACTGACAAAAGGCATTTATTCTAAAACAATACATGGAGTTTTTAATAAAATGCCTGCCTTACAGAGTTATGCCATTTGACAAACATGCAATATGGACGACTGAGCACAGAGTACGTTTCTGAACGGGCTGCTGCCTCTCGTTTACTTTGACCTGATATTGATTCATCATCTTTGCTAGATTCAATGGCCTGTTTAGTAGCATCAGGACATGGGCTCAATGCCTGCGTGCAGCTCTGGCCGTCTGGGTGCCTTTCTGTTTTATCCCTTTGATTGTAGAGCAGTTTTGTGATATTGATAAATTACAGGTATGGTACTCAGAGGGAGGAAAGGGGCAACTCAGAGTGAATGGCAGTGCCCTTGGGTATGAGGCTCACTTGGACTCATCCATTAGACAATCCTATGTAGTGTTGATGGGATTGGAGTTAGTTGGCTGGTAATTATGACACTGGATGAGCACATAAAAATCATCATAATAAACAATGTCATTCTTGTAGAACCCTTCACATGAAATCAGTCCTGACAGACAAATAGTTATTTACATAACATGGAATCTTTAAAAAAATACCCTAAAAAAACCAGCAACAACCAAATAAGCAAAATGTGTGTATAGAAGTTAATAAAAATTAGTACCTTAAAAAAAATCACTGCAAGTTATGTTTTCTGTAATTATATCAAACCCTAGAGTTTTAACCATGTAATAGTAATTTTTTCATGTTTTTGCCGTTATTGTCCTTTTGATTTACTTAACTATGTCTAACTTGAACAAACAATGTTAAGTGGGGAAACAGATGCGATTAAATAGCCTGTAATTATGTTTTTAGTCAACTGCTACCATCACAGACTCCTCTTGCTACTCGGACCAGAAAAAAAGTGACCTGATTTTACCAACTGCTTTGCCAGACCCTGATGCAGAATAGATGGCCTTATTAAGCAATCAAAAAAATCAGCCATTACTGAGGAATGGTAATCAACCGTGTTTATACAGCTCACACACTGGCCCCACAATACACAATCAGGACCATGAATTCTGCTAATTGGGTACCTTCTGCGTCCAGAGGTGCCTGCAAAGGGAAACAAAAGGGACTTGAAAATTAGTGTTTGTAGCAATTAGTTTCTGTCTAAAGGCTTAACCCAGTTCAGGGAAACCATGATTCAAACAGGGATTATTATAGCAACTCTGGCATTTAAATGTCTTCTGCCATTATTTGAGGTAGGCTTTAGCTTGGCAAAAGTAATGCAGATTTGTCTTCCCTCCTTTTAGTTTTTATTTACCTAAAATGACTTTTGTTTTGAAGTTTTCAAAAAATCAAAGCCATTTGCTGCTTTAAATTTTCTAGCATTCAGTGTTTTTTGTTTTTAAACCTATGATCTGACTCAAGACCAGTTGAAAAGACTGTTAAATACATGTATTGTTGAGGAGCTCTGCTCAGAGGAATAATGCAGTTGGGTTTGTTGTGCCATTATTTCTCTCTGAACTATTCATAGTTTAGTGGGGAAACACGGTGTAATTCTTGGTGGAGGAAAAAAGGAAAGCGAGTGTTTAATCTATAAATGTACGCACAAATCATATTCTAAGTAATAGTACTCAGACAGTGCAGGAGGAGAATGTAGGTTCTCTGTGTGTATTTTACCCGAGCAAACTAGCAGGGCATTTCCAAATGAGCCCCGTGGAAAATCCAATGTAAATAAAGTTCATTTCAAAAAACCTTTTGCCCTGTTCTTCCCTTTTAATCTTTAGCATTGCTGATGCAATCATCAGGTAGCCAAATCTCTGCTTTGTTTCTGTCCTGGTAGACTCCCTGCTGCAGCTGATCAAAGGGCAACTTAACAGAAGCACAATCCCAAGGACCTCTTCACCACCCAGGGAAAGCACCAGCTGCAGGGTCCTGCTTTCCTGAAGCTTCCCACGTGGTTACAGGAGGATCATAACCAAAAAAAAAAAAAAAAAGGCTAGGGAGAGGAAAGGAAAAAACGTACAATTCAGAAGACGAAAGAACTCGATGTTCCATTTCCTGTGACTTAAAGACTACATGAGCAAAATGACAGTTTGTCTTTTAGATTTATTAATAATTTGCTTCCTTTAATTACTTAAATGATGGTTAATCCATGTGTCAGTAAGTATAGTAAATTTTTCATTATTAATACCAAATTTTACATTATTAAGACAGAAATTTTAGAAAGAATATTGGTGCTTTGAAGACAATCAGAATGATCAGTATGATAGTTTTAGAGACACCATAACAACATTTTCTCCTGACTGATTACATTACATATTGATATTAGTGAGCATCAGAATGTAGTGCAATCAGTCAGGAGAAAATAAGTGAAATGTGAACTAATGAGAGCTAATTGTGTCGTGTAATAGCAAGGACACAGAATTCTATCATTAAATTAGTTTGAGATGAAACAAATATGAATATAATAATGTTTATAATAATGAGGCAATTAGAGATAATGAAATAAATGCTAGTAAAACCAGATCCCTAGCCCATTTCTGTCCTTCTCCTTCTGATTCCTTCAAACTTTGGGTCACTTGCATATTTTCTGCCATCATTGCTGTGTCTGTGTCTTCATCTCTGACATAGGGATGAAGAATTTAAATCTCCTCTATTTTCATGTTTCTTGATCTCATACCTTCAGAAGGCTCCTCACAGTCATGTACCTCTTGCCAAGCACACCCTTCTCTCTTTTATGAGTAAATCATGGCTTGTTCTGTAGATTTTTTTACTTTCATATACTGTCTTTCCTTGGCCTGGGATAGAAAATGGGCACTTCTTGGTTTAAACGTTGATCTGTTCTCCATGTGTCGTAGAGCTGACTGTTCAGGTCTAGTGCTGCTCCATGTGCAACTCAATTGGATTCTGTTTACTAGTCCCTTCCTTGGTGTCCTTAAGTCTTTGACATTCATTCCAGTTAAATCTCTGACAAAAAGATTCACAACAGGGGTGGCAAAGCCAGTTTCTTAGATACCTGGTTAGGAGAGCACTGACCCATTTCTCTTGGAAGATGGTTTGGACACCCAGCTTAAGCTTGGTAAATTATTAAGATCAGTGAGGTGACTAGGATCCATATTCTGTATTGCAATTTAGTTTTGAGCTAATAGTCAATGGTGCTGAGCACCTAACAGGGCAGGCGGGTATGGGTACGAGGGGAGATGGTACAACAGTATATTTCTGATCAGTTTAGAAACAGATTTAGTTAAAAAGACTATCTCCCAAGGAGTGACACATTTATACAAATTATGGACTAAGAAAAAATGTATTTTCTATGGTGCATATCTGTTATACTATGGACATTGCACTGGCAATTTAATGGGAAAATTGAAACTTTTAGTCATTTCCTCTTGTGTCTATTTGGATGTTACTCCAGTGGGGGTACTTATGTTTATCCCCAATTTAGACTAGGGTTAGTAGTGTTAGCGAGTGAAATTTGACCCTTTAAGTAGGCGGAACTTTGTGCTGTGGAAGTTACAGCCATCTTTCTCTTTTGGCTACTGTGTTTTTATCATGTATATTACCAGTGTTTTTGCTTTTGCTTTTGTATTACATTAAAAAGACATCAGAATGAGCTGTGAGTTAATGTTTCACCTGTAAAAGGTTATGGATTATGCTCAGCTGGTTTCTCAGGCTGACACAGGGTTCAGGATTAGAAGAATGAAAACAAACATGAATTGAAAATGTCACTAACCTTTATTGGGCCCTGAGAATCCCAGAGCCTGCATGACAGGAGGCTTTCCTGTTTTCAACAGTATAAAGAAGATTGAAACAAAACAGCACGGATCTTGGCTATTTACATCTTTTAATGAATGCTCTTCACGTTTGGGTTCCTTTGTCCATTTCCTAGTTTTCAAGGATTTAGTTGTGAAAAGTGTGGATGGTATCACACACTCTTATAAGCCATGGAGCAGACATCTGTCTAGGATGTTTCTTCCTCCAAATTATGCTCAGCATAAAGGGCATATATACAGCTGTGCATGTATAAGATAGTCCATCACCCATTTTCCATGTTACCAGCAGTGAGTTGGAAAGTATTTTGGGATATACTATAAGTAAAACTGTGTGTTTAAGTGGGTGTGCAGTGAAGGGATATTTCAGATGAGATCTAATATCTTACAGCAGATGAGCCCATTCAGTTTGAATCTGATACTGCTGTCTTTAAATACCTTCTGTGATCAGTGAAGAAATACATTCACATCCTAGGCCCCGGTGTGAGCGTAGGTAGCTAGATATTAATAAAGGAAAGGTGCAAAGGGTATCAGACATTTTAAGCATAATAAACTGGAGAGCTGAATTGGATAATGAGCCTGCTTGCTTCACTGGGAAGCAAGCTCCTCAGGGGGCCACTGAAGGATGTTGCCTGTCGTTACCCGGGAAGGAATGAAAACAGCAGGAGGAGTTCCTCTGCTGGGCGCATGCCCAGCAGAAGATGGCACAGGGGGAGGTACCTCTACTTTGAGGCATGCACAGTGGGAGCCACGATGGCGACCGTTGCCTGTCTGTCTAGCCTGGTAAAAGGATTGTATTGGGTAAGGAAAACAGAACCCCAGGAGATCTGGGAAATGGGTTAGTTTGGGGAGGACCCATCAGAAGCCCCTTAGGAAATTGATTGGTTAGTTTGAAAGGGCACCTGGTCTTTCCCAAGCCTGAGATAATATAATCAGTCTAATAAATCTGTCTCTCCCCCCCGCCCCCATATATATCTCACTGGTAATACATGCTCACCCTATTCATTCACATGTTCTCTCTCCATGGCAGCCATGTAGCCCTGCAGCCACCAGGGGCCAGCAGCAGCGAGGACTCCAAGTGCAGACTCCCAGTGCGAGCCTGGGTGCAGCAACGCAAGACCAGCCGAAGCGCAGCTGGAACTGACTAGCTAGCTGGACAGGAACAGACATGGACTGAACCAACAGAATGTTTAAACTTCCACAATAAATCTTACCACTATACCTTTCCTCCCATACGTGGGTCCCCAGAACGCTTTCCTTGCTTCTTCCTGCAAGGACCCCATTTCCACCATCAGCAGCAGAACCTTATCAGACTAGAGGAAAGTAAAACTAACTTAAACAAACTGTTTATAGAATGTCTAGGGATTAAACTGTGATTGATACAGGAGATAACACAAATACCCAGCAATAAATTGTTAGAGTTTTAAGTTTCTATTAAGATTCACTGTCGAGGAGAGAACCAAGATGGCGGCATAGGTTAATGCCGGAGTTTGCTGCTTTGAACAACTACTTCAAAAGTGAAACTAAAAGATGGAAGGGACATCACCCAGAACCACTGGAACGCTGGCTGAGTGGAAGTCCTACAACTAGGAGGAAAGAGAAACGCATACGGACACCCAGAGGAGGCGCAGTGCTGAAGTCAAATTCTGAGGTGCGGAGTGCGTGGAGCGGGCTGGCGGCAGAGGGTGCGGTTGGCGTTTTCAATCAGGAGGGAGTCGCAGACTCTGAGCTCCAGATCCAGGCGAGTCTTTAGCGACCCAGACTCAAACGGGAGAAGCGGGACTGTCTGGCTTCGGTCAGAGCGAGTGCAGCTTTCTCTCTGAGCTTTGCAGTGGGTGCTGGCACTCAGAGAGGCAGAGCCCCTGGGGACAGGACTGAGAGCTGCCATAACTGTTCTCTCCGGCCCACCCTGTTGATCCTGTGCGACCCGCCCCACCCAAGCCCTGCACAGAGGCATTTGCCGGATAGCCTCAGGCAAAGGCTAGATTAGCACCTCCCTAGAGGACAGAAGTTCTCTCACTGCTGACACAGCTGATTCTCATAGCCACCTGGCCTGGAGGTCAAACCCTCCCTGGTATTAGCTACAACAATCAAGGTTTAATTATAAGACTGTGCACAAAGACCACTAGGGGGTGCACCAAGGAAGCATAACAAAATGCGGAGACAAAGAAACAGGACAAAATTGTCAATGGAAGATATAGAGTTCAGAACCACACTTTTAAGGTCTCTCAAGAACTGTTTAGAAGCCGCCGATAAACTCAATGAGATCTACAAGAAAACTAATGAGACCCTCGATGTTATATTGGGGAACCAACTAGAAATTAAGCATACACGGACTGAAATAACGAATATTATACAGACTCCCGACAGCAGACCAGAGGAGCGCAAGAATCAAGTCAATGATTTGAAATGCGAGGAAGCAAAAAACACCCAACCGGAAAAGCAAAATGAAAAAAGAATCCAAAAATTCGAGGATAGTGTAAGGAGCCTCTGGGACAGCTTCAAGCGTACCAACATCAGAATTATAGGGGTGCCAGAAGATGAGAGAGAGCAAGATATTGAAAACCTATTTGAAGAAATAATGACAGAAAACTTCCCCCACCTGGTGAAAGAAATGGACTTACAGGTCCAAGAAGCGCGGAGAACCCCAAGCAAAAGGAATCCAAAGAGGACCACACCAAGACACATCATAATTAAAATGCCAAGAGCAAAAGATAAAGAGAGAATCTTAAAAACAGCAAGAGAAAGAAACTCAGTTACCTACAAGGGAATACCCATACGACTGTCAGCTGATTTCTCAACAGAAACTTTGCAGGCCAGAAGGGAGTGGCAAGAAATATTCAAAGTGATGAATACCAAGAACCTACAACCAAGATTACTTTATCCAGCAAAGCTATCATTCAGAATTGAAGGTCAGATAAAGAGCTTCACAGATAAGGAAAAGCTAAAGGAGTTCATCACCACCAAACCAGGATTATATGAAATGCTGAAAGGTATCCTTTAAGAAGAGGAAGAGGAAGAAAAAGGTAAAGATACAAATTATGAACAACAAACATGCATCTATCAACAAGTGAATCTAAGAATCAAGTGAATAAATAATCTGATGAACAGAATGAACTGTTGATTATAATAGAATCAGGGACATAGAAAAGGAATGGACTGACTATTCTTGGGGGGGAAAGGGGTGTGGGAGATGCGGGAAGAGACTGGACAAAAATCGTGCACCTATGGATGAGGACAGTGGGTGGGGAGTGAGGGTGGATGGTGGGGCGGGAACTGGGAGGAGGGGAGTTATGGGGGGGGAAAAGAGGAACAAATGTAATAATCTGAACAATAAAGATTTAATTAAAAAAAAAAAAAAAAGATTCACTGTCTTTGTTTCCACGATGGCGACCATTGCCTGTCTGTCTAGCCTGGTAAAAGGATTGTATTGGATAAGGAAAACAGAACAGTGATTTGGGCTTGGTTTTTCTTAACCTAAATATGAATAACCTTGCAGCATCTGAAAAATATTAGTCTGTTTCTTAACCCCCTATTTCTTTCCCTGCTAAGGTCTGATTTGGCATAACTTGCATACAATTGCACAGTACTTTTCACTGATTTCATAGGTAATTTGAGGAAATACTGTATGAGGATCACTGGGGAAAACTCAAAACAAAACATCTGAACTGTAAATATGTAGTGAGGAAGTTTAGACTTTTACAAATGCATTTGTTTCTGAATTAAAATGAGTTCTATAGACTCATGCTTAGTCCAAAATTATTTTTAATATTAGTAGTTCATGGTGCAACTCTGAACTATAATATGGATTTAATGACATTCTTTGGCAGAGTATAAGCATTTGGGAAACACAAACCTATGTGTTGTTATTCTCACTTGACCTAATTATATGCTGTTCTTTTAAATACAGAAATGTTTTGCATTTTAAAAGAAGTTCAAAGTAATCTTTTGGCCAGAAAGGGTTTCCACTTAAAACAGAGGTCCTCAAACTACGGCCCGCGGGCCACATGCAAATACAAATATTGTATTTGTTCCCGTTTTGGTTTTTTACTTCAAAATAAGATATGTGCAGTGTGCATAGGAATTTGTTCATAGTTTTTTTTTAAAACTATAGTCCGGCCCTCCAACGGTCTGAGGGACAGTGAACTGGCCCCTGTTTAAAAAGTTTGAGGACCCCTGACTTAAAACATATGGAGACTTTCTTTTATTTATTTTTTAAAGTATGTTTTTATTGATTTTAGAAAGAGAGGAAGGGAGAGAGAGAGACATAGAAACACCGATGAGAGAGAAGCATCAACATCGACCGGATGCCTCCTGCACGCCCCCTGACGGGGACTAGCCCACAACCCGGGCATATGCCCTGCTGGAGAATCCAGCCTGTGACCTCTTGGTACTTGGATCGATGCTCAAGCACGGGGCCATACCAGCCAGGCCACTCCCCCTTCTTTTACACACTAATCCAGGAACAGATTCTGTTGGAAGTTCTATTTTCAAAATAAATCCTAAACCTGATCACTCCCACTACTTCTACTTCTGCCATTTCTGCTTCTGTCACCTTGGTCCAAGCCACTGCTATTTTTCTCTGGGACCATCACAGTAGTTTCTCAACTGGTCTCCCTGCTTCTCCTCTTGCTACTACTTTCTCCCCCAAGTCTATTCTCTGCCTAGGAACCAATTCTTCTAATACCACTTAGGGAAAACTTAAGGAATAAAGATTTTGATTCTCTTAGCAAAATATTCTTTTGTCATACAGAGTTTGGTTAAGTTCATTGTGTGACTCTTTTAGCCCATGCATTCTCTGTGTTGGAATACGATGCAGAATTTATAGAGAATGGATATTTTGCTGAAAAACAGTTTCTCACTCTCTTTTCTTTGGGTCACTGATTTCTCCTAACTGGTATAGTCATGTGATGATGATGATAAAACTGGTAAAAAAATCATGCCCCCTTCTCTTATCTTTCATTATTTTCAACATAGTGCCAAGATTAGAATGGGAACAAGGAGTCATTTATATCAACTTTTGGCTTGGTGCTGTCAAGCTAAGAGTAGATTAATGCACTTGTCTTACTTTATTTGCCAAGGTGTTTATTTTATTTTATTTTTGTTCTCTTAATAGGTCCTTTTGAGTCCTCAGTATTTTTTGGTTAAGACAAATTTGTATCCCATCCCATCATTTACTTGCCTCTTCTTTTCTTTTTTTAAAAATATGTTTTTATTGATTTTTAGAGAGAGAGAGGAAGGGAAAGGGAGAGAGAGAGAGGGAGGGAGATCATCAATGGGTTGGTTCTGCACGCACCCTGACTGGAAATCTAACCCGAAACCTGGGGATGTGCCCTGACTGGGAATGGAACCAGCGAGCAGGGTCGAGGCTTTTGGAGCAGGGGACGATGCTCAGTCAGTGGAGCCATACTGGCCCGGCTACTTGTTTTTTCCATCTAGGTTACTAAGGGTGAGTCTACCTTCTCAGGGCCTTGCACATACAAGAGACAGGATAACAACATCTGAACAAGGCCCATTGAAAATGAAAACTGATCAGGTTATTTCCTGGGTGGTAATTTAAGGCTGCTCTCTGTATTTGAATCCGTTTTGTTTAAAGGGTCCCATATAATTGGACATCCATCCTACCGATAAAGAAAACAGTTTTTTCAGGGCATGCAGGGCCAAGCCAGTTAACCACTGCCTGCCATGCATGGTGCCTTACTGATATGGGCAGGGATTAAAACTCCTATGGAAGGCAGAGACTATTATTTTTCCTGAAATTCAGCATGGTGGCTTCAGAGCAAATCCAGTGGCATTTTTCGGAATTCGTGCTTCTATTTCAGCTATCTGAGAGGAGGGTAATGTCTCCTGGTTTGCCCAGGTCGTGTTCCAGAGAGAAGCTCTTTTTCTTTACAAGCTATAAACTGGATTTCCTAAAGCACAGAAAAGCAGTGACCTAGTAATTCTTTGAGCTCCTGTGACCTTAGGGATGAATTTTAGTGATGTGGGAGCAAAGTGTGACAGCATCTATAGAGGGAAAGGCATAGCTGGTGGGTCTCTAATTGGCTTCTAAGAGCACCCCAGTGTCTCGGTCTGACTCATGGGCTGCCTGCTGCAGTTCTGAAGCTCTTAGCATCTTTAAGTGGTGGTAATTATTTGGCTATTGCTTAACTCTTTCCAACCCATTTAGGTTTTGGGAAAAAGGGTACAATTTTATTGGTATTGAGGACAGCTAAATACACACACCTGGAAAGTGACATTTTCTATTTTCTTAACCTAGGCAAACTATTAATGAATAAGCTTTCTGGAATATAGTACTCTTCCCCAAATTTGACCTGGTGGGATCATGTATAGACTCAATGAAATCATTTGATACTCTGAGAAAAGGGAAAAGATATTCCTACAAGGAATCTAAATATAGTACGTGGTTGTTTAGGCTACCCTTAGGGGTGTACTAATTGTAATGCTAAACTTAGACATA